CAATCCCTAAAGTTCTGTGATTCTGTGAAAACACAGCACCTGGAAATAGTTTTTCTGTCTCCTTAATTTCAGGAGCAGAAAGGTTTTCTGAGTGCCTTGTTAGCCAATGTGCAAGGTAATTGATTGTATTCTTTTAAATTTGCAACTGGCTTTGTGTTATGGAATTAATCTGCTGCTCAAACCTAAATCATACTGCTCACTACTGTGATGTAGGATAGAGTGTAGTGTTGTTTTGGTTACAAAGCATCATAGCTATAAGTATTACAGATACAAATGTGTACTTTAGATGTTCTTTTCTCCATAATCTCTGCAGAAGGAGCAGGACATCAAAGAACTGAAGTTAACCATTGTGGAGTGCTCCTCAGTAATAGAGGTATGGGACTGAGCTTAGCTTCTGACTATTTTAGGGGAAAGCATTCATATCCTATGCTTATTCTGTGTGATAATCTAACACTCTAACCAGGTCTGATGTATGTTTTAGACTTTGCGGGCAGAAAAAAATAAGCTGCTGAAGAACATGCAACACATGCAGCAAGAGCTGATCTCGTGAGTATTGTGAAAAAGTCCCAGGAGATGCAGTTCATCGAATGTAAAAAACAGCTAATATGTGTTTTTTTTTTTTCTGCTTCTTTTAGAAATGGGTTGAGTTTCCCATTGCTTTGTAAATTTAATAGTAATATTCCTGAAGGGACGGATTCACTTCACTGTGAACTGGAACTTGCTCAGTCTTCTGAGGTATGAATCAAATCTTTATCGAATCTCATCCTAGTTATCTTGCATGAGTAAGGGAAGCACAAAGCTTGTTCCCTGTATGCCATTAGATAATCCTGGAATTCAAAGCCATTAATCCTAGTATGCAAGCATAGAATGAGAAGGTTATAATATTGTCCCAAGTACGTTGGAGAAAGTCCAAAGAAAAGCAAGCAAAACATGTGGCTTCAAAAAATGAGACCTACAAAGTAAATCTGGAAGAGCTAGGGTCGTGCATTTAGCTGTCAGAAGAACAGACTGACAGGAGGCAATACAAGTTTTTGAATGTATGAAGGCTATTATGCTGAAAAGTAAGTCTGTTTCTTCTTTTACTGCCTACACCACACATGAACAATGATTTTAAAATGCTGGAGGGGAGATGTCTTTTTCCTTGAAGTGAAAAAGAACATTCAGTACTAGAGTAAGCATTTTGACAAGACTATAAAGTCTTAATCTAATTTACTCATTAGAAAACCTAATAAGCATCTGTCTGTAGGTACCACTCCCTTGCCCCTTCAGCAGGTACAACGGAGACTGACCTTTAGAAGTTTGTCCCATTTTTTTGGGCCCTCCCCCCCATCTCTCTGCAGTCTTTGAACAGTGACTCAGAGAACAGGAGCGGCATCCTTCCGAGTCTGGCACAGGCTGACAAAACCTTAGTACTGCAGTTGAGCTTGTTGGTTGGGAGTTGTAGTGTTACCCCATGTTCTCTGCAGAATCTCCAGCAGGTGGTTTGGTGACTTTTAGGAACTACATTTTTGATCAGACACACTTCATGTAACACTAGAAGTTTGGTCTCTAATTTACTGTTCTTACAGCTTTCCAGCAATCCAATGGTGAACTACTGGGGAAAAAAAAATTACATGTACGTTATGGTTTTGCCTCAGAGTTTTATCTGAGGCCTTCTGTGCCCATTTCCCCAAAGACATTTCATGGAGTCCCATTCTTCCTTACAATGCTGTCCTCCCTTCAGAGGGAAGCTGTGCAGCAGACCTGGTAACGCATTATGCTATCGCAGTGATTTCTCTTGCAAGACTTCACTGTGCTGCTACTTTGTCTTGTATGTGGTGCATTTAGAGAGGGTTAACATATGCAACATCAAAAAAAAAAATCTAATGGGCTAAAACTGCAGGCCCAGAAACAAGAAGTGTACTTGGCTAGGCAGCCATTTTAAAAGTAATGTGTTGTCCTCTACTGCAGCTCCCCACAGCCTTGGTGAGTCAGTGTTTGCCTCTCAAATGAGACACAATCCCACTAAATCACCTGTGAAACAAGTGAGGGCTCTGCTTATTCATCACTTGGTAAAGCCTCTTCTGAATAAAGATAACTGATTGACTTCCTTTTGCCTACTCCTGACAATGAAAATTTACATTGGATCACTCAGCAGCTTGGCCAACTTGCTTTTTTTTAGATCCCCATGACATGATGGTTTTGAAAAGCTTTTACAAGCTTCAAGTTCCAGTAGCTCTGACCTTCCAGAAAATATGATGCAGGGATACTTCAGAAAAGTCTAAATGTCACTGATGCTGGTTTGTAATAAGGAGATGTCAGAATAAGCTAGCTGGCTCTTCTGTCTCTTCAAAGATTACCAAGACTGAATGGACATCTCTGGATGAAACACTGGACTGTGAAGTGCTGTTTTCACCTCAGGGACCTGAATATGGAGGAGAAAAATTTAAGACTGTCATGCAAAACCTGGTCAGTGGCAAAGCTTATGTAAATAAGGATGTGATCTTTTATTGACCTTTTAATTGGGATTACTTCAAGCACTGATGATCAGATCATGTTTACTCCTTTTGAAAATAAGAATAGCCTCTTTGGGGTAGAGGGAGGCATATTTACTCTAACAATGTCACTTGGCACCTACTCTAATACTGTAACTTATAACCTGGGTAATTCTGGGCAGTGTTGTGTCAGACTAGTACTAGAAATGCCAGGGTTTGGGTTGTTGGGGGGAATTGGTTTGGGTTTTTTGTTTTATTTTTGGGTTTGTTTTTCAGCAAGTGGAAGCCTCTGAAGCAGAGGAGCTTGTCATGACTTCTTTACAATGGGTAAAAGATGCTGATGTGAATGTGCAACAGGCTTGGGAAGGAAAACTTGTGGTAAGTAACTGTTTCTCTGAAGCTAATTTACAAAATAGTGGGGCAGTGCAAAAATTAAGATGTGTATCTTACTACTGTGTGCTATATGTATTGGTTACTTGAGATTGTAGCAGTCCATTTGAGGGGCAGAGATGGCTTTACGGAGAGAAACTTTTGTAACTCTTTTTCTTCAGGAAGGTGATGATTGCTTTTCACTTAAATTCTGTGCTTTTCCTGACTTGTCTTGAGCAAGAGCCCACTTTGATAGACCTATGCCTGAAGGAAAGGGTAGATGAAGCAAGTTGATTTGAAGAAGAAAATGAGGTTAGATGGTCATGCTATATTGTATGAGCTATGAAGCCTTTCTGCCCGCTGCATGTTTCTGTGAGTCCCATTTTCCTCTGTGCTCCAAATCTCACTCTGTAAGAGGATGGTCTCACCATCAAGAGGAGGAGGGAAGTGGCTTTATAACCAGATTTCCAAATCAAAACTTTGGTAGGGTTTGCTTTCTTCTGAAAGGCTGAGAGTTTTGTTTTTGTTGGACATGCTGCACAGGAAAAGTTTCTACAAAAACATATTTTACAACCTAATATTGCATAATGTATTTTTGCTATTTGTGGTACCTCTTGTGAGGCTTGAAAGTAAAGACTTTTGCTCAAGATGGCAAAAATAACTTCCCCATGTGTTAGCAGCAGCCTGTGGACACAACTCAACTCTCTTGCTCTTGTTCCTTCCTCCCCTCCCATGTAACAGCACTGTTTCTGAAACTTTCATCTTGCTGGATGTAGCTTTTTGCCTAACCTGGTCTTTCTTACTCATCTGTTAGGAGCACTGCTACAGAAAACTCCACCCAACTATACATTGATCCTGTCTTTGGCTTCTTCATAGATGCAGAAGTCTCAGGTGGCATGACAGTACATACTGCTTTAAGCTGTTAGCATTTAAGCAGCAAGTTTGCCCTTTTCCTCCAGTGCTGTAAAATGCTGTAGCTGTCCCTTGTCATCTTTCCTGGGCAGGCAGGAGCAGCCATTGGTGCCATCCAGTTCTGCAGCCAGTGGGGTTTTGTTGTTTGGTTGGGGTTTATTTATGTAAATGCTGAAAGCTTCCCCTTGCAGAAGGTGCAGTTTCTTCACCCTGGTGTGGCTTTGGGTAGCCTCTGGGGAAACTGCTGGCTCGCACACTGCTCTAACTTTTTCATCTTGACTAAAAACTTCCTCCTTCAAAGCTGTCACAGCTGAAAAATACTTGTTAATTTGCCATTCATGTTGGAATAATATTCCTGTTAAACATGTGAAGCTAAAAACTTCTGGTGTGTGTGTCGGAGTTGACTGTGGCAAATTAATCCTTTTCTGGCTCCTATACAGCAATGCATTTGGAAACTAAGCTAACAGAGGATCAAGGAAACACAAGATTCTATAAAAATTAAAGGTCCCATTCTTCTGGGACCTGTAGGGATGGGAAGTGACTTCATGCTGAACATATTATCTTCACCTGGCTTGAACAAGCCATGTAATGTGGGCAATATGGTATATGGAGCTGAACTACAGTAAATCCAAAATAAAGGGAGAGATTCCAAGTACCTTTTTCTAGGCTTAGAGAAAGATTGAAGATGTGTACATTTGCACATGCTCACATCCCATGTCATTGTAGTAAGCCTATGTAGCAAACCTGCTCAGGTTCTTTTTTGGTGGCATGATACTTAATGTGCTATGCTTTTTTATTTGAGACACACGAATGAGTCAGCCTCTAATTTACAAGTAGGTAACATGGCCCATATTTGTAAGATTGGCGTTTTCCCCCTTGAACTAATGCAAAATTCTAGAAATATGAACCTTATTCTTATCTGACCTCTGTCTGACACTCATTAAGCATTCTGTAAAAGCTGAGGACTCTGTTCTGTGTGCTTGGTTGAACAAGGTCAGAGAAAGAAGACTGGATCCTTCTTTCTCAGTACTTTATGCTGAAGGTCACTGTACAGAGAAATGCAGAGGATGCAATGTTACTTAATGATTCATTTTTACAGTCTTCCTCTTTTTTCTTCCTACAAATCAGAAGTAAAACTGAAAGCCTTTGTCAAGGGTCATCCTTTGGAGAGATTTCATCTGCTAGGCACTTATGACAAACTGAAACCTGGATTTATTGGTTTTCGCTTTGAGTTTATTTATTTTGCTGTAATAGAGGCTCAAATTGGTGCCAATGGATTTAGTTGTGCTTTAAGGACAGTGTCACAGAAGTCTAAATTATCAATTTTGGGGCTTCCTGCAAGATGGTCATTATTAAAACTTCTCCTTATGAAATAGGTTTTTTGTTGATATATCTGGGCATCTTGTGATGGTGTTTTTTTAGGAGTAAGTTGTAAAGACTCCCTTGTGTACCATGTAATGTTCTGCCATGATGACCATAAATACTGGCTAAGAGTATATTTCTTTTAAAAGAGATGAAGAAGACTATCAGCATTCTCTAGATTTGCTCAGAAGAGAGAAGGCTAAAAGTGGCTTTTGAGTTCAAGTAACATTTTTGGGAAAAAAAAAAAAGTGGGAGCCTGTTGTCAAACTGACCTAGCATGCAGAAGGCTTATGTTTTCCTGTGCAAACTGTTGTGTTGCCGCTCCATCTTGAAGTCTTAAAGTACTGACACTTGGCAGGAGTCTAGCCTGTCTGTCCACATGTCCCATCAGATTCAGGAGAAAGAAGACACAGGTTTTAAGTTCAGGCAGCTTTGTTAACCTATTAGACTTCACAAAACACTGCTTTGTACAAAACATACACCCATTTCTCCTTTATAGTATCTTCCTGATTAAACTGTATTCTTCCTCATTTTTTTCTCTCACCCTCTCCTTCCCAGCCAGATGCTGTGTGAGTAGATTACAAAATACGGTCCATCATCCACCTTCTTTATTGCTGATACTGTTGGTTATAGATGATGATGCTAAATGATGAAGCAGGGAAATAAATTTCTATGTAAATTTGGGCTCTGGTTTACTCCCTGACTCTGTTCCTCATCTAACCACATGGAGATTCAACTTCAACGTTCCACAGGTTCTCAAGCAAGAACTAGGAGAAAAAATACACCTTTGGATCCAGAAACTTCATCTCTTGGAAGAATATAAAGAATTCATAGATAAGGATTTTATTCGAATGGCAGGAGATCTGAGGAGGACCAAGACAGAGCAACTTCACCTAAGGAAGGAGCTCTCTGCCAGGTACCCTTCAGAGTATGTGGGACTCTTTTCACAGAGGATATTATATGCTGGTTTGGAGAGTGGATCTGGTTTTAGCATAACGTTTATGCAATGTGGGAGTTATGGTTTATGTATGAAGTAACATACAATCTTGGCAATGTCTTTGAAAACACCAGGGAGACCACAGACAGAGCAGTTAAAGCAAGAGGGCACTGCTTATCTAGCAGGTGCAACCATTAAATAAACTGCTGGTTTTGTGTCAAGTAGAAAACCTGTAAAAGATATGCCTGCAGATATTGCTTTAGGTGACAATTGCTAGTTCCAGAAGGTATGATGTCTCAGTTTCTCAGGGATATAGCTTCAATAAGCTATCTCACTAAATATAAAAGTGTAACTTTAAATTTTAGTTTATTGGCACATGGTTCCTGCTATGAGTTTTGATGTTACAAATATGGCAGCAAAAGGCAGCAGGTGCAAACCTCTCCTCTTTTCCTACATTCAGGAAAGTAGCTACTCAACATTATTTTTGCCAGAACAAGTAATCTGAATTTTGTTGATTTTGTGGAACTCAGGTTTGCTCATAGCGTCAGCCTTCTGCTATCCTATGCCAATTGTAAACTTTTGCATGCATGTGTTCACCTGGGCTTGGGGCGTAAGCAGCTTCCTAGGGTTTTGCATTTCTGAGAGCTAACATGGAGCAGTCATACTGCACTTTTGCCTGACTTCTCTTCCACTTAACGTTGTTAATGTAGACCTCCCACATGCTCTCCCTTCACTTGAAAAAGAGCTGATAAAAGTACTGAAGGCTTGGTTTCTTAAAGCTGCCTCTCTGTAACAATTTTTTTATGGTGGTAGCAACAAGAAAAAGATATATGAAGGTGAGTTAGAAATGAAATGGGCAAAAGGTTTGTGCAGTGGAAAGGAAGGGGTTCCCTGAAAGCCATAGTCTCTAGTGCTATTTCTGATGGCATCTGCTTCCTCTCAAGTGAAATACCTTCTGAACCACTAGGAATTTAATCTGATGAAGCTGTGTAACTGCAGTAATAGCTCCAGGGTATCTTTGAATGAATGACTGACACTACATCCAATTACTATCTCTCTCAAACCATGAGACAATGCATTATTTTGACCAAATTGCACAAGTTTGCCCCACTAAGCTCTTTTTGTTTGAGAGCTCTCTGGATACTCCAGAAACTTGCACTCTGGTACCCAGCCAGCTGGAGCTGGCGCAGCCATTGCACTGTTCAGCTGGGGAGAAACCAGGGAAAACCTCAATCCCCTTCCTAATTCCAGAGCTGCTGAGAAAAAGCCTTGTCTGCCTCCTGGGTTGAACTGTGCATAGCAAGAACAAAGTCCCTTGTGCTGGATCCTGGAGAGCTGCAATATGTAACAGCTGAACGTGATTCTTGATGCATTTCTCAACTCCTCGTGTGTGTCATATCCCGAGCATGCCTGCCCTAAAATGTCAGTAACGGATTGTGGTTTGTGCTCTCTCACCCCGCAGGCAATGCGAGATAGAAACTGTCAAACAGTTACGAGAAGAAACTTCTGGCCAGGCAGAAGCCCTTCATTTAGAGCTACAAAAAGCTACAGAGCAGCTTGAGGTTGCTAGCAAACAGGTAAGGGACAGCCCTGGTTCCTTCTACGCAGAAAACAAGCAAGCAGATGCAATGTGCTACGTACAATGCATCGCTGCTTTTGGGAAAGGAAATGGCATGTTCAGAATGGAGCGCCTCACTGTAAAAGTGGAACCAGCAGAGGAAGTAAAATTTGAGGGGGTGGTGACAACAGTTTGCTGATGAAAGAGGCAGCATTGCATATTTGTGGTGGCTTAAAAAAAAAGAAAAGAGAAAAAAGCCCCAAAATAGCTTCCCTACACAGTCCACCCCAACGTAAAAATGCAGAAGTTCAGAGGGAGCTTTATCACTTCCTGAGAAAAAGAACAGATGCAGTTTGGTTTCATTTACATGAACTGTAGAGGCTCCTTGTGTTAGCCAGGCTGTTTTATTTTTTTCCTTCACTTCTTTTTTTTTTTCTTAAATATTGTTTTGTGCTTAGGCGGAGGATCAAGTTGAAGCCTTTCACTCTGCTTGTGAGGAAGCTGCATCCTTGAAATGCAAGTTAGAGGAAGCCATTTCTGAGCATCAGAAACTCAAGGATGTGAACGCAGCTCTAACAAGCACTTGCCAGTTGCTTCAAGAAAAGGTGGAAGACCAGAAAAGTGAGTAACTGCTGGCAGAGTGCTGGCATTCGCTCCTGCATGGGCAGATCCTTTACGGGTTAGTTATGCAAGGGGGGAATAGGATGGACCTGTAGGTCATCTGATAAAATGCCTTGTGGAGCTTTTTTTTTGTTTGAGTGGGTTCTTTCCTGTTCTGTTTTTCCCTCTCCTCTGAAGAGATCTGCAGGCATGGCTGAGAATCAGGTGTGGTCCCATAAAGTGGATGTTGGGCTGGACCAAAGCTGCAAAACCTCCTAACCCCAAATCTCCAGCCCTAGGGGGAAGGGTTCATAACCCTATGGGTGACACTGACACTCCTTTACCAAAGGTGGTGTTCCCACACCTGAATAGACCACCTTCATAACAAAGTAATCCCTTTCTCTTAAACTTCCTGTACCAAATAGACTGGATTTTTATGTTCTGCATTCTGCTTGCTGCTTGTATTTGCTTTCTGGTTTTGAATAAATGCATGGTTTTAGCCTGTTCTCTTTTAGTAGAAAGCAATTGTGGTGTTGCATCGTACATGTGCAACTTCTGCTACGGAACCATGGCAACTTCATACTACCTTTTGCTCACTTGCTAAGATCAACACCTCAAAAGCTTGGGCAATTAAAGAATACAGTAGTTTTATTCCAACACATGTGACTTTTTATTTCCAAACTCTGGAGTTTGAATGCCTTCCTTATAGGAATAAAAATTTGACTGACTTAGGCCCACTGAACTTTTGGCCTCAGGCATGCATTTCCTAGAGCAATGTGACTGATGCTCAACACATGTGTGTTGTAAACAACTATGTGAAACTGAAATTTAGCTTGTAGGAAAAATTACATGGGTCTCTGTCTTAGCTCTAAGGCACAACTGTTAAGCACTGGTAAGGCAGCAACAGTTCCAAACTGCTTGCTGACTTCTGACTGATACTTCGGCATCGTTCACGTCTGTGTGCTCATGTTGCTTTCATGTTTACTGCTTCCTTCAAACTGTGAGGTTGGTTTTTTTAGTGAGGCAAAACAATGGAAATAGTGTGTCATTTTCCAGCTCTGAATAGACAAAGCTCTTCTGCAAAGTAAGCTAGAGCAAACTTAGAGAGAATCCCAGACATGTGGAAGAGACTGGTGCCACTGTGACCTGGCAGGTAGGAGGGGGGAATGCAACACATCAAATAAACCTCTAGAAAGCACTGCCACCCTGAAAATGGCTGAGATTCTGACTTCAAATTACTCCACATCGTTTGCATAAATCTTTCTATATGTAAATTAAAAAAAAATCTGGTAGATGTGTAAAGAAATTGCAAGATGTTATAAAGAACAGGGCTGATAAACAAGGATGGAAGTGAGGGAGGACAATGCTTTATATTGGTTCCTTTAGAAAGCTGGACAGGTCTAGTGCCCCTTCTGACTGAACCACCCACCTTCCCCCTCTGTTCCTCTACTTCCCCCACTGCATTTTAAGAGATAAGAAACAAGGAAACCTGTAGGCCAAGGAAGCTGTTTCAACCTAACTCAGCCTGGCACAGCTCCTTCTGTATTTCTGAAGTCTAATCATGCCCTGTCACTAATTACTGCAGACCTCATCCAGTGAAAAAGCTGAATAAGCTACTGAGAGCTGCCTTTGGTTTTTGCTTGGGCACTGAGATGACAGTGCTAATGAAATCTCCTCACCCCATTTCTAGTTAGTTGTGGTATAAAAGTTGTCGTCAAATAGGAAGCACAAATACTTTTCTTCCAATAAGTTGCAATGGAGTCATTCATTTCCACAGGGATCTGTGTCACCTTAATGGTGATGATGTGGGGAAGCATTCCCCTGCTTTATAGCAAGGTGTATTGTAACCATAGGGAAGAAGAAGCTCCCAGTGTGTTCTGGGACTTGCAAAACAAAACACACTTTGAAAATTCTCTTTCTTGTGGGAAAACTGTTGTAGGTATAAGTAGAATAAAGTGAAGTGCAATGGGTTTGTGATAGGTGGTAATCAGTTTAAAAGACCCTGTAACTTCTGACTGCTTGTTACCAAATCATAAGGAACCCTGTAAGACACGTAAATGTCTCTTCATAGTAACTGCTAATACGCTAAGATGGGAACTGATTCAGAGGCGCCTCTGCGAACTGCTGTGTCAGGTATGACACTTGTCCGGTGGGAGGAGAAAAGATGGGCTTGCACAGGAGGTGCTCTGGTGGAAGGGCATCTCCAGCTGAGATGAACTATAAGTAATTTGCCAGCATCCGACTTCTCTTCTAACATGCATGTAACTGTGGAGGCAGTAACCTGCATGTGCTGATCTGCACATCTTTATTTCTCTTCTTCAGCCTTCTGGAAAACATAGGCTAGAACTTACAGGTGTGGTGTTGCTCTTCACTGTAAACAACTGTTGGTGGCCATATCAAATGGGAGCTGAGGGAAGCTTTCCCTGATGCATTGCTGTGATTTGTCCCTCCCAATCAGCCCTCTGTTCTGTAAACAGTCTTGAAAACAAATGTTTAGAATCCTGTAATAAAGTATTTCTCAGTATCTAGGCTTTGGAATAGGCAATGAAACTGTCATCACCTTCATGACTTTCTGGAAATACATTGAAATTATTTAACTCTGGAGTACTTTGCTTTGAATAAGAACACTTTCTTCAAGTTTGGAAGGGGTGGAGGGGAAGATATTGTGGGAGGACTTTCCTCCCAGCCAGCTTAAGTTAAGAACGGTATAGCTCGGGGTCTGAAAATTCTGGATTTATCATAAAATAACAAGGTATTTTTAAAAACAAACAAAGAAGATCTTAAAATGTATCCTAGACTGCAACAAGGGCATCAGAGGAGCAGAATCAAAACTGTGGACTAGCTGTGTGAATAAAACCTGTATTTCTGCTTAAAAGTCTGCAGAATTAAAGGCTGCAAGGGGGAACAACTGCAAGATTTTCCTTATAGCTGAAAATAGTTCAGTTAGAAAGACAAAACTTCATTTTGTTCATAATCACTAGTAGTGTTTCTTCTCTTTTTTTCACTCTTCTTCTGTCTGCCTGCCTTAAACTATTTATCTATTGCAACAGTGCTGTGCCAAGTTAGAACCTGACTACAGTCTGCTGCCCACACCAGCTGAGTTGGGGAAAGGGAAGGTAAGTGTGTTTGCTGTCATCATTGCTGAGCCAGCTAAAACACAATACTAGTTTTGCTCTTATTATTTTTCATGACCTGAGGGAAATAAATAACTTTCCTTGTGAGAAACTTTGCCAAGTTAAACATTCAGTAAAAATAATTAAATACTAATTTATGTAAATATGCACATGCATGTATGCCCACATACAACAGTATATTCCGAACCAGTTTCCTATTGCTTCTGAACAGTCACTGTGACAAAATGCAGGCACTTGATAAATTGCATTTTGGGAAGGATCAGAGGCTGAAGATGGGGCTGCATCTTCCAGTTTCTCTTCCATTTTTTTATCATTTAAGCAACATTAGGTCAAATGCAGCTGCCGAAGTGTTGCTTCAGAAGCTTCCTCTGGCTGGCTGCAGGTGACACCTCTTCAGCAGTAAACAGCACACAAGTAGTGTGTGCTCAGGGGCAGGGGATGGTAGGGGCTGTGCTTCATCTCCATGCAGCCAAACTGGAGCTGCCCTCCTGTCCCTGCTGAGGGAAAACCTGACCTGTGTAGCAGGTGCTGGATGCTGGATGAATGTTCCCCTTCTTAATCTGTCTGGCTGGCTTGGCTGAAAGGGGGAGGATGATTGGGTTTGGGGTTTCTTGTTTTTGTTGTTCATGGGGTTTGGTTGTTTGGTAGTTGTTTAGTTTTGGGGTTGTTTTTTATTTTTTGGCTCTTCAGTCCTGCTTGTCTTGCCTGGTTTTGCAGTATCTGGTCTCAGACCTAGCTTGAACCAATGTCTGTTGCAAATGTAAAGTTGAATTATTCTACCTCTTCCTGTATCTGTTCTGTCCATTAAGAATGTGAGCTTTTCTAGACAAAAAAGCAACAGATGTATTTGTATAACTGTTAGTATTACATTATGCAGACGCAACTGCGTGTGTGTGGGGGGGGAAGTTGGTGGCATTAATGTATTCAGTGTGATTGAGTACCAGCAGTACTTTTCTGTTTTTCAATTAGCAGCTCCACCACTCTGGACAGCAGTGGAGCAAAGGATCCACCTGCACTCAACTTCCCAGGACCCTGCCCTCAGATAGCTCATACTGGCATAGTACGCCTCTGCTAGGTAAGACCTGGTGGGGTTGGCCATTTTTCTGTCTCCCCCTTAAAACATAGGAAGTGTTGATAGGGGACTATAGAACAGTATCACTGGTGTTAAACATGCTAATAGAGTGTAGAAAATCTATTGTTGGCTTTAGCCTATTTTTGAACATAATCCAGGAGGTTAAGCCATGTTTATAATGCTTGCCATTAAAGGCCTGAAAAGGTGGTTGGCTGTTAACCTAACAGGAGTCCCCAAAAGCTTAAGGAATGGTATAAATCATACAATCCAAGTATAGCCCTGACAAGATGCTTGCCAGTCTGGATTGAGAAGGCTTGAGTTATGCTCTTTGCATTCATCCTGTTGACTGGCACAAGCTGAGACAGCGAGCAATGCACTGGTGCTTTGCTACTGAACTGAGGTCAGTCCTGGCTTAAAGACTTGTCTGGGTAACATAGCTGCTGAGAATCAACTAATTGTATTTGTTGATTTCTCCTGCGTTTGTGAGCTGCTTGCATTTCCCTGCACTCCTTGAGCCTTACAGATATTAAAAGCCAACCACTGCCAGATAGGCATTGCAGGGCCACAGAACTGCAGAGTGCATTTGGAGTTTTGTAGACAGACTTGTTTCTTCCAGAGTAAGCTGATGCAACATGGTGCCTGTCCTCACACAGATTGTAACATGCTCAAATGTAATTCTATGCCATACTGGGGGAAAGGAAAGATCTTGCTTGTTTGCAGATGCTCCTTGTGGTATCACTCTGCTGCTCTGAAAGGGCTGTCTCAGTGGGTCAACTCAGTGTTCTTGCTACTTGCCTGTGTAATATCATGATCCA